GGTCCAATCCTCCCATGCCTTACATCTCTCTCTCTCTCTCTCACACACACACACACACACACACACACACACTCTCACCCTAGTGGCGGCCCGCGCCTCCTCGGGACGGAACCAGCGCCCCGCCCGCCCCGGCAACGCCAGCTCCTCCACGCTGTCGGGCGGCTGGCTGGGCGGCAGCTGCCCCTGGATCACAAATATCTGCGGTACAAGCGGGGCCAGGCAGGCCAGGCAGGCAAGCGCAGCGGTTGGTGGGAGGGGAGGAGGCAGCAGGGGGAGGAGGCAGCGGCGGGGAGGGTGTGGGCAGGAGCAGAAAGGCAGGGAGGCAGGCAGCCAGCCAGCCAGGTAGGCAGGCAGCAGTCGCCAGGCGGGCAGGCAGGCCCACCTGGGAGTAGTTGTAGGTGACTGGCTCCAGGTCGGCGCTGACGTGGCCGCCGGCGGGGCGCTCCATGGCGGCGGCGCCGGGCGCCACGCCGTCCAGCCCCGCAGACGTGCCCGCCGCGCCCTCCTCCTCCTGCCGCGAGTGCGCCGCAATCAGCGGCTCCTCGTACCCGCCGGTGCTGCGGGCGGGCAGGGAGGCAAGGGAGGCTAGCAGGGTGGGCGGGGCGGGCTGGGTGGGCGAGGCTGGGTAAGCGGGGGCAGGCCTCGGCCAGCCGCGCAGCGCTCCACCGCCCCGCCGTCACACACGCGCCCGCACACCGCGCCAGGGCCGCTACCGCCATGCCACCACCATGCCACGCCACCGCCACACCACGCCACGCTGCACGCCCGCCGCGCGCGCCCACCTGAACGTCTGCGTGTTGCTGCCGGCCCTGAAGGCGGAGTAGACGACCGACACTAGGGTGAGCAGCACGCCTGTGGCCAGGGTGGTGGCGGAGGCGGCGGACAGGCGGGCGCCCAGCGCGTTGCACTCGTAGTCTCGCGGCTCGCTCTGCAGCGCGCTGTACTGCAGGTACATGGTGTACAGCGAGATGCAGGCGGCGGGGAACAGGGAGCCGCGCTGGACCTGCGGGGAGGAGGGAGGGAGGGAGGGAGGGAGGCGAAAGGGGGAGGGTGTGAGGGGGAGGGTGTGAGGTGTGAGGTGTGAGGGGGTGAAGAGCAGGGGCCAGGCGGGCAGGCTCAGGGGGCGGAGGGCCAGGGGCGTTTTCGGCGGCGCGGGGCGGGCAAGTGCTGCTGGCAAAGGCGCAGGGAGGGCGCTGGCCAGGCGAAGGCAGGGAGGTGAGAGGGGCTGGCTGGGAGGCTGGGTGGAGCCGGGCCGCATGGGTGAGCTTGGTGGGGAGGGCTTGATGGGGCGAGCAGGCTGCGCAGGCGGTGAAGGGCAGTGCCGGGCGGGCAGGCTGCGTCGGGCGGGCTCACCGCGGGGTGCAGGGTGATGGTTGACAGGACGATGCAGAGGATGAGGGCGAGGGTGATGAGGGAGATGTTGAGGGAACAGTCGGCGGAGGCGGGGGCGAAGAAGTGGTAGAGCAGGCCCGCGATTGCGGCGCAGCCTGCAGGGGGCCGGCGGGGGGGCGCGCGCGGCGGGCGTGCAGGCGTGAGCGCAGGCATGCTCGGGGGGTGTCGACATGTGGACGGGTTGCCGGGGAGAGGGCGCTGCCGACAGGCGATGACCAGCACAGCACAGCACAGCACATGTACACCCACAGCACCTCCGCCAGCAGCGGCGCAGCCAGGACCTGGCACCAGGCCCACAGCTGAGCGGCCAGCCCGCAGCTGCGGGCCACGTCGCGTGGCCCGTGCCGCCCCCTGCCCCAGCCCGCCCCCGCACCCACCCACCTGCGTAGGCCGCCGCCGTGACGGCCAGCAGGGCGTGGAAGTAGCGCACATCGCCCTCCCCCGCCTCCACCCAGGCATCGTTCCAGCTCTGGGTGACATCCTGCGGGAGCATGGAAGCCAGGGGGCAGCGGGCGAGGGCGTGAGTGTGTCTGTGTGTGCCTGTGTGTGTGTGTGGAGGGAAGGGCAAGGCGTTTTTGCCAGGGCATGCCCAGGGGAAGCAAGGAGGGGCAGCACCCTGGGCTGGCCAGGGCTACAGCAGCGGCTGGGGCTCGCGCTGGAGCGTGGGCCGCGCCAGAGGCCACCCCGCACCCTGTCGCCGCCGGCCGTCGCTCCCGCCGCCCGGCCTGCTGCTCCCTGCGGCCCCCACGCCGCGCCCCGCAGGCCAGCGGCGGCTCACCAGCAGGATGATCATCTGGATGAGCAGGAAGAGCGGGGAGCCAAAGCGCGCCAGCCAGGAGTAGGCTCCCACCACGCCGACGGGCAGGAAGAAGGGCAGCGCGTTGCACAGCGCCCACAGCCCCGCCTTGAGCAGCCAGTGGCCGTGGTGCAGCGAGCGGTCGCGGCGGTCGCTCTTGTGCTGCACGCCGGCCATGACGACGGCCAGGGCGCCAAACAGGACCTGCCGGGGGCGAGGAGGAGGGAGGCTGGGGGCGGGAGGCGTGTGGAGGCGGCATGGGCAGCAAGGAAGGGCCCACAGGCGCCCAGGAGCCCCAAGCCTGCCACCCGGGGCCGGCCAAACGCGCTCCTCCAGCCAGGCTGCAGGCAGCCAGAGCCTCCCGGGGCAGCCGCCAGGTGGCGGCGCCTGCCTCTGCAAAATTGCAAGCCGCCTGGCTGCCAGAGGCCCACCCCACTCACAAAGTTTCCCAGGGAGATGCGGTACACAGCCTGCTGCCCAAACCAGGCGTCAGACGGCATCTCGCCCCCCCCAAAGTGGCGCAAAATCCCTGCAGGCCGGTGGGACCCTTGGGGCAGGTCAAGGCCCGGTGCCGGGGCGGGCTCGGGGCGGGCTCGGCGGCGCCCACTCCGCTGCACGCCCCGTGAGGCTCCGGCTTTCCCTGGGCTCCGTCCCCCTGGCCACCCAGGCCGCATCTCAGCGGGGGAGGCTCACATGGCAGCTTCTTGAGCAGGGCGCTGCCAAAGTCGCGGGCGATCCAGGCGCCGACCAGGGAGAAGGTGAACAAGATGCTCCAGGCGGCCCGCGCCGAGCTGCGCAGAGCTTGTTGAGTGACGGCGGTGCAGCACGAGCAGGCGCACCCCGCGGCAGCGGAGGTCAAGCAGCTGCCCAGCGCAAACATGGCGGGCTGTTCCAACTGGCGGAGGTGCACAGGGAGGAGTTTGAGGCCCGCTGCCGCCAGCGGAGCGGCCGCTGGCGCGCCATGGCGCCCATGCAAGGTCTTGCATGTAGGCCAGGCTGAGATGCTTGCAACCTTTTCTTGGTGTGCCGACCAGGGCCACCTCGCGTGGCAATCAGCTGTGGCCACAAGCCAGCTTCGCAGGCCACAGCTGTCTACACCGCAGCGGGGGCGCAACCAATGGGCGCCGCCGGTCGCTTCCTCCACGGGGTGTTGCGGCGGCAGGCCCCCTTGGCGTGCCCGCCCCGCCCCCGTCACCGCCCACAGCCCCCCGCTCAGCCAGCCGCAGTCCCTGCTGCCAGACCCCCGCTTGCCGTCGCCCGCCCGCTGGGGTTGAGCAGCCGCAGCGCCACCCCGCAGGGAGGCCAGCACCTCTTCCTGCGCGGCCGCTGTCGTGGCGGGCTGTGCTGCCACCCCCGCAGAAAACTCCGCTGCCCGCTGAGCCGCTGCGGGGCCGGTGTGTAGGGCGCCGCCGGCACCGCGCAGCGCCGGGACGCTGGTGGCCTGCCGCGATAGGCGCAGCTTGCGCGACAGGGCAGGGCTGGCCCGCTCGCGGCAGTGCAGCCAGCTGTGGCGCCGCGCCTGCGCAGCCTCAGCTGCGCCCTCGGCGTGGGCTGCTCGCCGCCAAGTGCTGTGTGCTGCCACAAGGTCGGGCAGCGCGCCGTCGTCGCCCGCCCGCCAGCGGGCAGCCAGGCTGTCCAGCGCTGCCCTGGCTGTCACCACCGCCGCACCAGCCTCCCGGCTGGCGCGGTGCAGAGCAACACAAACGGCATACAGGCGGCGCTTGAAGGCGGGCCACCACACCAGGAGGGCGTGGGGGTCGGTAGGAGGGGCCTGCTGAGCCAGCCACTCCTCAAGCTGCTGGCACAGAGCGGGTGAAGAAAGAAAGCCGAGGCGCAGGCGGCGGCGCTGGCGGCCAACAGACGGGGGCTTAAGGCCCAGCAAGGTGACAGAAACAGGGCAATGG